AATCAACAAAATGTCCATATGCAGTTAAGTTCTCTTTTACCTGGAAAACCCAACATGAAGAAACAAGCACAAGTCACAGGATGATGATATATTGTGTATATCAATGAAATATATATAATATATTCTGCTTCAGACTATTGGGGTACACTTTCTTTTTTATTCCCCAGCAAAACACAAACTCTACTGTATACAACAGCTGCCTTCTTTTCCAACCCCAACTCCCAGGATGACTTTGGAAGAAAATGCTTTCTTTCCCTACTTCATCAGCTTATCAAGATCCTCTAATTCCTGCTGTTCTGAGAACACACTTTTAGCAAATAAGAGTGCTTCAGATCACTGGGGAGTCCGAAGCACTGATTGAAAGTCACGAGCTACCATAGTTTATTGCGTTATCAAAGTGATTTTTTTTTGCTTGCCTTTTAAATACACCAAATAACACTGGGGGGTGGCAGGGAAAGGGGCAAGACAGGGATTTTCAGGCTTTTTCACTTATTTCCATTTCTGTTGCACCAGAAGTCACAGAGGACGTGACCGTGCTGGTGCACAATGCTAGGCATGAGACATGCTAGCAGCCAGGAAGAGAATAAAAGAGTAAATTGGTATTCCCAAGGTCATATGGCAAAGTAATAGAGAGTGAGAAGCACAGCTGAGACAGCAGGACTGCCAGAGCTCAGCAGCCACTGATGCAATGAGCTGTCTGAAAAGCCATTGCTTCCCCAAGGCCAGTTGTGTCCACAGCAAAGCAACAGGAATAAGATCTATTACCTGCATCATCTGCCTCTTGCCTCCGGGGGAGGCAGCAGCTCCTCAGTTACTCAAGGCTGCCTTGCAGATGTGCAATGTTTCAGCTACTACTGAACTTGGAGTGACTTCTCTTCCTTTTCTGCCAACTTTGGATACCTCCTAGAGGGGGAAAAGAAATACAAAAATTAGAAAAGCAAGAATGCATTCAATAGCTTTTTTTGTACTTGCTTTGGAAAGCTTGTCTTACCTGTAGCTCAATCGTGCAATACAAACAAACAAGAATGTTGCTTGCAGATTGCTGAAGACCTTAAAAGTGCTGAGTTAGCACTGGGAGCTGCTTGGCATCAACAGTGTGTAAAAAGAAGCTGGGATCTGCCTGCTTCATATATAATTTTATTTTTGTATCACTGCAATACGACTTAGCACAGTAATGACAAAGGTGTAATGCATCCCCTGACTCCAGTAATGACCAATATAACTCTCTTCCGTAGATGAATTTACTTTAACCTGCCCATATATTACCAAAATGCCAGTCACCAGAGCATCAAAGCAAATAATGGGCATTAAGTACCAGTGAAATAACTGTTCTGGAAGAAAATGAGGAATTTTTTGCTTTTGCTGCTCCACCGATGGCCCCAGACCTTGGCCACAGAACTGCTGTGTTGATGGATTTCTTTATTTCACGTCCTCCCTGTTTTTTTTTTCTGCTTAACTCTCCTATGTGCATGGAGTTAGGTGGATTTTTAAATAAAACGAATCATAGAATCATTACTGTTGGAAAAGACCTCCTAAGATCATTAAGTCCAACCGTCAATCCTTCACCACCATGCCTACTGAACCATGCCCCTCAGTATCACGTTTACCCTATGGCTGCTTTGTGGCTGGCTTACTCTCATTTTCCACTGTTGATTACACTTATAAGGATAAGTACATCTTGTATTTTTGATGAGGAGCAGAATCCTATGGAAAACAGAAGGAACATTTGCTGCTGAGGCAGCAGGGAACACAACATGTGTTCTGGAAATCTCTATTTCTGAGGAGTGGGGAGATCAGAATCTCTCCTCTACCAAGTCCAAACTGTACAAGTTCTGTCAGATAATTCTTTATTGCTATTAATGTTATGTGGGAGCCATTCAGAGGCTTGTGTGTGGGCAATTACATCAGACAAGTAATTTGTTTGTCATTAAAGCAAGGTCGAGGCTCGATGGACCTGAACCCTTATCAAACTCCTTTTTGTCTGGCTAGGTTTAAAAAAGTGACTACAGACATTTAAAAGAGCCCAATTGCTGGGACCTCCTAAAAATTAATTCCTTTCACTATAACATAATACAGCAGACAAATCACCGTGCAGCTTAAAGATATCTGTAAAGGCACAAGTTTTCCTATGTACAGTGTGGCAAATTCCTTCAGGAACTTTTCCTAGTGGGGAGCTGAGACAAAATTGTGTTTATCAATCTCCAGAATGTTTCCAGTTCACTATGGGAAGGGGCAGCATATTCCAAAAGGCTTCTAAATCTCAGGGCTGAACATTGCCAGCCTTAGCTATAAATCCAAACACAAACTTGCTTTTATGGACTCACGTTCCTTGGGTGCAGCTCCTACCCATCACATTATCAGTGCAGCCTAATTTCAGTGCCCTGCTGACATTTGCAAGGCAATTATAAGCTGGAGAGCCAGGTAGCAGTCAATTTCTCCCAACGCCTCCCAGAAGCTGTTATTTGGTTCCATCAGTTTTTGTCTTTTGTGAAGCACAGAGTTCAACAACACTGGGCTGAAGGTCAGGCTGATTTTCATTCAGCTTGCCTGAAGACTGCACAACCACGAGCAGCTGTCCTGAGGAGCTCTGTGACATTGGTGCTCAGACCCAGCAGTGACCATAAAGATGCCATCATTAGCAAACACTCACTAATGAGTTCTCTCCAGTACGCCTGTTTGCTGCTTGCTAGGGGAAGGATCCTTATGGACACAGCACAAAGTTTTTCTTGGGCCTTACCTGGCATCTGGGGAAATGCTCCATCCTCCCTCAAAAACCATCTGAAGAGGAGGGTAAGACCTTCCCTATGAGGAACCTAGGCATCTTTTAAGCTGAAGTTGTAATACAATCACGATTCCATGAGCCAACTCTTGAAAAACAAAAGACAAATATGAAACTCATAACAAAAGACTGGAGCTGGACATGTTACACTGCAGGCTTTTTTTTTTCTTTTTTTTTTCTTCAAAAATTGGTTTTATCACATTTCTTTGGCTCTAATTGCAGCCATGGCAGTGTGAGATTTAATTTCTGCTACATCCAGAGTGCCAGAGAGGTTTGTATAGAGCCCTTTTGGTCTGATCGCTGCAACCAGCTAATTAACAGTGCTTCAGGTAGCTTGGTACATGCTGCTGTGACATTGTGATTCGATCTAAAGCAATCCACCATGTGAATATCTGTCTCTTCATGCAGGTAGGTAAGGCACAACAATATGTCCTCAAAACATTCATGGAACGTTACCTCCTTAATCATCAAGAACACTAAGAAAATGCTTCTTGCCCATACTGGCACCAAGGTTCAAACAGCACAAAACCAGCACCATTTTCAGGTAGAAAGGTGTGGATTCATCCAGTTAGCCATGCACACAGTAGTGAACCCTATAATACAAACACTGCCATTATCACCTTTTAGGACCATGGGAACGTCACCACATTTTTGATGCCTATTGAAATGTATTCCAGTGCTGATTCAGAGCCCACAGGAATCAATGGGAGAAAGAGGGAGCTTCCACTTTTGGTGTAATAGGCTGTGGGTCAATGTCAATTTGAAGAAGCCTGTTGTTTCAGGCAACCTTTTCCCTCTGTCTGTAGGAAAGCTAAATCTGACAGATATTGAGATGTCTAATAGAGCTGGCTGTAAATTTATCCCATCGTCTTCCACTCCATTTTCTTTTTATTTCCTGCCTAGCATTTAATTCTAAATACATTACCTCCGATGCATCCAGCAGGTCCACGTTTTCCTACAAGCCGCCTAGTACACTGAATGCATACATCCACATACATTCTTCCTTTCCTTTCAGAAGAAAAATATGTTTTTCAGGTGAGAAATGCAGAAGACAATACGAAGTTGGATACATGATACAAGAATGAGCACTTAAAGAGACTCATGCATTGAATCCTAACCTTGTGGCCAAGTGATAAGTATTAATTAAATAAACACCCACTGCTGTGTTATTCACCAGCCAATTAAAAAAATATATATCTTACCTTCTAATCTGAACCCATCTAGCTTCATCACAGAGACAAAATATTTAGAAAGCCAGAAGGCTTCTCCTTCTCATTCTTCCCTCCCCCAGCATCACCCCTAAACCTACTCTTAGGGAGGAACAACTTTTCCAAACTTCACCCAATTCCTTTAGCTCCAAGAAGGTGAAATGGGATAAAATTTTTGTTCCCTTTGTCCACTGAATCCCTGTGTAACACATCCAGAGAAATCATTCAAACAGTAGCTTGGCTGTGGTGTCCCAACCACAAAATAATATGTTTATTTTTTTTTTTCCACCAATTTTTGTTGTTGTCATTTTATTGATAAAAACTACACAAAAACTAACTGATCAGGATAATTAATTTAAAAAAACAAAACAAAACAAAACAAAACAAAAAAAACCCCAATGTTACACATTCTCCTGCGTTTTAGAAATTGTGTCAGCCAGTGAGTTTCACCAAAACACTCTTGCTTTAAAGGATTTTCCTTCTGATCCATTTCAAGCACATCTTTCCCATTTTGGTTCCCAAATGTCCATTAATTTTGCTTACAGCACATCTGGACTGTAAATATGAGAGATACACCATTGCATGTTTCCCCCCCCCCTTTTTTTTTAGAGACCCAGAAGTAATTATAGTGTCAACAATGAAGCACAATGATGACAGTAAAAATCAAAAGCACCCTCCATAGTGTACAGCCTGTCTCTTAAATGTACATGCACCCAAGTTTCTTTGTTTCTGCTGCATCCATTGCCAATGTCCTTTTGGTTCAACATAAGCTGTAATGCCCATATCTGAAGTTTGAAATATTAGCGCTCGACCACTTAAAAAAAATAAAAAATAAAATTAAAAAAAAAATAAAAAAGGAAAAGGAAAAAAAAAAAAAAAAGAAAATAGAAATCTATCTTTTGCTCCTTGAAAAAGAACCAAAAATATTAAACAAATTTTTGAAGAGTAATAAACACTCCATAAGGAATCATGGCTGACCCATCCCACCCCAGCCCTTGCCCTCCCCACCCTTTTATTTTTTACCTGTGGTTCTCCTTCCCTGGAACCGTGCAATGTAGAAAAATCAAATATACAAACAAAACTCTTAATCCATCCCTTTATGTAGCTAGAGTGAAATCTATTTTTTTTTTTTTTTTTAATAAGAACTCAACAATCTCTCTTTAATATTTACATTGAGGAATTTGTTCGAAAGTTTAAAGCAAAGAAAATCCTGAAGTTCTCAGTGTGTACTGCAAGACAGCATTTCCAGTCTGCGGGGTCTGCTTTATCCCCTTCCCGTGGTCTGTGTTGGAACATCTCGAAGTGGAACGGTGGATTTTAGCTCCTGGCCCTGCTCTCTTCTGAGCTGAAAGGTCCTTCGGAAGAGCTCCCCGCTGCCTCCGGCCCTAATTTGGTATTCTCTCAATGTAGATGGCCGGAGCCGCTGAGCGTGCGATTGTGGCTATGAAGCTGTGGTCCCGACTGAGTTCCAGGTTGGTGGGCTCTGGCTGCTCTCGGGCCATGCTGTCGTAGCCCTTGTTGACGTGGAGGGGTTTGTGGGCTTGGCAGTAGCTGATCACTGGTTGGTCGTAGCTGTAGTAGGGTAAAGTCTTCATGTGGTGAGGGACCTGCAGGAGACCCAAACAGATCGAAAAAGAGAGAAATGTGAATGATGTGCTTCGCCATGTTTGTTTAGCAATTATCCCAGTGCAGCTCTAACGTGCTGGGTGCTCAGCATTCAGCTCCTGCAGGAAGACAGCTCTTGATTCATCCAGTCCCCTGCAATGGGACTACTCAAACTGAGTGAGCCTTAACTCGGGCTGAGAGTCAGTGTAGTGCATGTGGGTTCATCTCTTCCCACGGTGCTGAGGTTAGGAGCTTAGGTCCATGAGGTGACTATGTCTAGGGGCAGATCTCAACCCATCCTGTCTTGCATACTGAATTCTGACCTTGCTTGCACAATCTGGCTGTGAAGGAAGCTGCTGGTAAGACAATCCTTTTTTTTTTTAAAAAAAAAACAAAACAGGCCCTCTTCCAGTGCCTCAAAAGCAGCTGAGCATTTCTACAGAAGGCAGCCCAGCCTGAGCATGTCAAAGGACAGGAAATCTCAGCTGCCAGCTCATGCAGCTCTCAGCACAGCTGGACACGTGTTTACTCCTCCTAGGACTAAACTGTTTCCGAGATGATTTCGTGGGTTCTGTATCTCACAGGCTCACCAAGAGCCTTAATGATGCTCGCTGGAGCTGAGCAGATCCACACCTTGTACGAATGCAAAAATATATTCAAAATGCCTGCAAGATCTATCTGAATCCTCCTTTTTTAAAATATAAATATAAAAATGCCCCAATCCCCCACCCCACGCCCATCTCCTCCTTTTCTTTCTTTTTGTAGATAGATGTCCTATGTTTGCAAATGTTAATCCTACAGGTAAATACGATTTATGGCACAACCTCAGATACAAATCTTTGCAGATAATTTTATCAGCTACAAGAGACAAGCTTTTCAAGTAGAAAGAAATAAGCTTTTAGGAAAAAATCACACTGCAGGAGACAGAGGCAAGAGTCTATTCTAACACACCTAGCAAACCTGGGCTCATTATAGCTGGAGAAACCCTACACAGAATTCAGTCTCATAAGCAATGCTTCCTTATTTTCCATGCTGAACTTTAAGTGAACACTACAGAGCTAATTTATCACAAATTTCCATTGCATGGTGCACACTGCTGCAATCGTTATGAAAAAGCAAAGGCATTAGGAGCAATTCTAAGTCCTGCAGGGTCAGAGTTCCTGTTGCATTTGGATCTGAGAAGCAGCTGGAATCCTCCCCTGATCCCTCTGCAGAACGCTGGAAAGCTTCCAAAACTCTTCTGCTACCTGAAACTCAGCTGAAAACGTCATTTTACATGACAGCTCAAAGGCAGGAATATAGCAGACAGGCTGCTCAGCAGAATTTGATGGGACAAATGTATTCACTTGTGGATCACCTTCAGCCACAGTGCAAGAAACTCCAACTCCCTTCAGATACAGCAGTATCTGTGCCAATTCCTATCAGGGCTTGAATTTGTCCTCAGCCTTTAAGGCAGCTCTTTATGATTCTATAAAAGCCAAGGACTGTTTGTGTTTGGGAGAGCTGAGAGATTGAGGTCCTGGCTTTACAGCAATAATGCACAGTACATTAACCACCCGAGTCATGCAAGCAGAACTCTTTGCTTGTTTTCTTCCCTTCTCCAAATGGGAGTCAAATGGAATTGGGATCCCAATGGCACCCCTGGGTGGTGGATAAACACATTTCCCTTTCAGCTCTGTCTCAGCAGCTGTTGAGAACCACTCAATTGTTTCTGTTGTTTTTTTTTCCACTTACAAAAGTCAGGTTTGTGGAGGGCTGACATTATATTAATAAGGGACACATAAGCACAGGGAAGGTGAAAGTTCTTTAAAAGTGTAAAAAACAAATAGGTGTATTGAGCAACCCATGAGCTAAGGAGCTACGTGTTCACTTGGAGAACACAAACGGGCCCAACAACGGATGTGCACCCCCTGTTCTCAGACATGGCCCTTCTGCTGCTCCTCAACTCTTCTGGGACCTAGATCCCAACAAGAGAAGTTAAAGAAAAGCCATGACAAAATCCTGGAAGAATTATCCTTGAGGTACCTCCAGGGAATACCAAATGAAGAAATGCCAACAGGCCTCCAACAAGTTGTTTTTTGTGATTCCTCTAGAATGTGGTGGTAACCACAGGAACAGATCAGCACAGAAATTCCCATGTCAAATGGAAAGACAAACAGGACTGTTGATTGCAGAACCAAGCCTCCTTTCCCTCTCTGGAACCGTATCATAGAATCATAGAATGGTTTGGGTTGGAAGGGACTTCAAGGACCATCAAACTCCAATCCCCCTGCCGCAAGCAGGGCTGCCAACCTCCTCATTTAAAGCTAGACCAGGCTGCCCAGGGCCACATCCAATCTGGCTTTGAACACTACCAGGGATGGGGTGTCCACAACCTAACTGGACAGCCTGTTCCAGCACCTCCCCACTCTCTGTGAAGAACTTCCCCCATTTTCAGTATCTCTGAAATGAAAATATGGAGGCCATCATTCACAAAGCTATTATATTTTTTTTGTTCAATTATTAAAAAAAAAAAAAATAGCTTTGTAAAAAAAGCATATTTAAAAGGAGCTGAGTTTAGAAATATTTTTCTCCAGGTTTTAAAGCAACTTTTACTCTGTTTCATTATTGCTACAGAACTAGTTCCTTGGATGCCAAGATAAGTGACCTTCGACAAGTCATTTTATGAGCTGGAAAATGAGAAGATTATGTCCTGCCTTTGCTGCCCTTGGGACTGGAGGTCTTTGAGCAAGGGATGTTTGTGTAGGAACTGAAGCAATGCAGATCTCACCTGAGCTGGGGCCTTTCAGCTGCTATGGCCGTCAGGAGACAAACAAAGAAACAGAATAAAAAACACCAAACAGGCTAATAAATACCCGAACAAATAGCTACAGGCTCTGGGATTCTGCCATCATTATCTTAAGGCCTCTTTCATGGAAGACACAGTTTTCACAGGTGAGAAACTGAGAGTAAGGGAATGAAGCACATACCTTTCCACAGTATTCTATGAATCATTTCCATTCTCTCTTCTAAAAATGACATTGCCTAGCACTGAAAGGATTTAAACTTGCTGCAGGAGAAACATAAATCAATGGCTATGCTCCCTCCTTGGATGTGCACAGGGCCAGGCTGGATAGGGCTCTTGTCAAGTTGGTCCAGCAGAGGTGTCCCTGCCTATGGCAGGGATTTGAATTACTGGGTGAGCCTTAAGGTGGGCCCTTCCAACCCAATGATTCTGTGATTCTACGATTAGCAAGAGAATGCCTTCCAAAGTCATTAATGTGTAAAGTCAGTAATGTGATAGACATGCTGGTGTTAACCCATGTATGGCACCAGGGAGGATGGTCTTCATCTGTGCTATTGCCTTACCATAAAGGAGCATAGAGTTTATCCAGTTGATTAAGCCAGTGAGTGAACGAACCTTGTCTTGCAAGAAAGCATCGAGTCTATCAAGCAACAAGCATTATAAGCACTTCAACTGTTTAGTGAGGGGTTTTGGCTAATGGACTGGATTAGTTAGCTAGCATTAACTTCTGAAGACTGCAGCTCTATAGATCTTCACTCTGAATGTAACAAACATTGTTTCTTAGCAGTCACTCACTTCAAACAAATGTACAATTGCAAGCAAAATTTACATAAAACCCCTAGCTACAGGAGTAAGATAAAAGATTTAGCAGTGGAAATTTTGAAATGTAAATCTTCCTAATGAATAGATATTGGAGAGGTTAACAGCTCAACAGCACTGCTGCCAAATAACAACTCTGCAAAACCTGCTGTACTAACTTGAGTTTACCAGAAACTTGATGAAATTAATTCAAAATGTGTGTCTCTACATTCTCTGTCCAGTTTGCCTTTGACACCTAAGTCATTCCAACATGCAAATGCTTGTACCCACATTTCAATGCAATCTGTGATTTTTTGTTTGGTTTAAACCACTGCACTGATTTGTATCAGCAGCTTTACCTACATTAACTAACTTACTCTCTAAACTTTAGAGGGGTAATGCACAAGAAAATTCAAATTAAAAAAATTTTCAGTGATAACAGTTACGCTTCAAATTCGGTTTCTTAGAGATGCAGCCATTAATACTTAGATTTTTAACAAAACATCAATAAAAATCCTTATTCTGCAACATAAAGTGTACATAAATAAGATGAAACCTTGGCCACTGAACTTGAGGAGCTTGAAAAATATCAGACTGGGCCCCCAATTAGTATTAAGTGACTGTATATCTAAACTGCTTTTATGTCTCTGTTTCCTTTCATAGCATGCATCATCATTCATCCTTTATCACTTGCACTGCCTAATAACTAAGGCTTTATTAGGCAACCCACAATTCAGCCCTACTATGGGTTCAAAGCAACACCTCTCTATCAAGCAATGCAGAGCTGAACAGAACACCCAATTCTTCGTGCTGCCTGTAACACCTGTTCAGGTATTTTCTTGGTGCACAGCAGCAGGCTTACTGCAGTGAAGACAAGTTGAGGATCAGAGATTAACGCTCTGTCTTGCACAGCATCACTTGCAGTTCAGCAAGATCTAATCACCAGCGGTCCCAGGTTGAAACAATTTCCTGGTAAACTCTTAAATCACATTTTGAAAACACGAGTTTTCCGAACAGATCTATTTCAGGTTGGAAATATTATGTGTTTTTTACTTTCAGCTGGGCTTTGAAGAAAGATTTCCAACCATTTGTTACCCTGCAGGGAAAGGATATCTTTCTTGGGAAACAAGGATGGCCATGGATGTCTAAATGACTCATAGCACCAGGACTATCAACCAGCGGGCAGACACGCAATGTGAGGAAGGACTGATAATCCCAGCACAGCCTTCTGGAAGAGGTCTGTAGTGGGAGGGAGGTCATTTGGATTCAGGTAAACTGAATTATGAGCATACACTTACCCACTTAGTGATTACACGATTAAATTACATCCAAGTTCAGAAGTTGTCCATACATAGCAGAAACTCAGAGTGACAAAATAAGGAAGCTATGTTTCCTCATTAGTGCTAATATTTAGTCTCA